TACTCTGGGTTTCTTAAGAAGCGTGGGGGGGACACCCCCCGACGGGGTTCAACCTCGCCTCGTCGACGCCCCGCAGCGGGGGTCGGAGCGTCTTCGGCGCGCGGTGGCTGCCCGCGACGGGGGTCGATGTGGGGCTGTCGGTGGGGGTGACGCCCCCCCCGACGCTTATTGTGAAACTTGGAGTGCGGAGCATGCCCCCCCCCCTGACGTTCCCCTCCTTGGAGGGTGCGAGGAGGTCGTGTCCCCAAGGTCTGCGCCGGTCACTTTCGGGTCGGAGGGCTACGGACGGAGGGCTACGGAGCAGGCCCTCTCGCCTGACGTTCCCTTCATTGGATGTGGCGAGGAGGTCGTGTCCCCGAGGGGTGCGCGCTGGTCCCTTTCGGGTCTGAGGGTTCTACGGTCGGCTATATTCCTCTTCCTATATTTTTATAAGCCCGGGCGGGGGGAAAACCTGTCACCCCCCCCAAAAACCGGACTCCCGGGATCTGGGGCTTTGGGACCCTCCAGACGGGCCTCGAAGCGGCCACCGGGCCTCACATGGCGTTTTGCCAAACCTTCCCAGCACACCTAGGGCGATCAGGGGGGTCATCGGAGACGTCCCAGAGACCCCCAAGACTGCACAAGAGCGCTCGAAGAGTGACCGACGTGACCTCAAGATGGCCCAAGAGGCCTCCAGGACGGCCCCAAAGAGACCTCCAAGAGCACTCCCAAGAAGGCCCCCCGAGGCAAGAATCATTGATTTTCTGTTGGTTTTTGGTGAATTTTAGGGTTCTCCTCTTTTCGGCATCCCGACGCTCCAAGACGGCGGTCTTCTGGGCGTCCGAAGCCGCCTGGGAGGCTCCCAAATCGCCCCACAACCATCAGAAAGGGCTTCCAGGCAGTCCAAGAGAGCCCCAAAACGGCACAACACGGGTCCAAGATGGCCCTCATAGAGCCCCATGGCGGCCCAAGATGGCCCAAAGACACCCTCCGAAGAATTCCAAATCGTGATTCGGTCGTTCAGGGAGACCGCGGTTGGAGGCAGGGTGGCCCGAGGAAGCCCCCGGAGGCCCCCAGAATACGCCCAGGAGGCCTCCAGAAGGCTTTGAGAAAGCCTGAAACAACTTTTGTGAGGCCCCATAGAGGCTCTCCAAGGAGGAGCCTCCGCAAAAAAGAGCTGAGGAGGATGGGGAGAATACGCAGGGCATGGCGAAAGTAAGGAAAAATAAGCATGGAGGAAAACGAATAACATTATTATAGCGGCGATGCCAGAAAAGGCAACCAGGAGTTATCGCTAAATTGTCGGCTTGACCTTCCTGCTATCCCGCCTGCATACCAAACTTCAAGGACCAAGGTGCATGGCGCGAAGCGCCGCTGCAGTCTTGTATACATATATATATATATGTATGTATGTATGTATGTATGTATGTATATATATATATATATATATATATATATATATATGTATCGCCATGGGCTACGGGTTCCGTCGCGTCTGTCGGGTCTGAGGGTTACGGTCGGCTGCATATCGCCATGGGGGACACGGGTCCTGAGGATTTTCGCTGTTTTCGGGCCCTCTGGGCCCTCCACGGCCCCGGGGACCGTCAGAAAACGTTCAGGATGAAGATCTCGTCCTGGGGGCTGGCCCCTGGGTCCAGGACCCGTTCCCCTCAAGACCCGCTGCCCCCATGCTAATTGTACGGAAGAGTGACCCTTCGCCAGGGTGACTTGGTGCGGACACAGTGGTCCAGGCCTCCCAGGTGGGGTCGGAGGATCGCGCCGCATCGCCGATGCATCGGCGATGTGGCTTCATGCGGAGACCGTTTTTACCTACGCCGACGTCGCCGATGTATCGCGACGTCGACGATACATCGCCGATGCATTGGCGATGCGGCGCGAGCCTCCGTTCGGACCCCATCTCGGAGGCCTCTCAGTGGGGTCCAAAGATTGCTGAGTGCGATGCGACAGCAGCGGGTCTTGCGCGCGCTGGTGCGGCCTCCCCCCGCGGCCTCCGACAGACGCGCTCCGGGTGTCACTCTTAGTCTATATACAGCCGATGCGGGGGCAGCCTTGGGGGTGGAGTGGGCTCAGGGGGGGAATGCATTCCCGCGCGGCTCTCTCGTGATCTAGGTCCCAGGTTTTCGGACATCCCCGTCGGTTCACTGCGGTTTCCAACTGCGCGGTGCCTTCCAGCGGCTGCGTCTCGCCGAGGGGCGTCCGGTGGTGCCCACATCGTCCCAAATCAGCTCGATGCCGGTGCCAGTTCCCTTCCTGACGCTCCCCCTCTCACTGGAGGCTGCGAGAAGAGCGTGACCCCGAGGTCCGAGCGCCGCAGTTTTGTCCCGCCGGGGTGTTTTTTTTCGCTCGGTCTCGGGCCCTGGGGCTCGTGCGAGTGGACCCGGCTCGAGGGCCGCGGCGCAGAGATGGGGTCCAGGGGCCCAGCCGTGGGTTTTTGTTACGATGGAGTGTTTTTCTCAGGGATGGTGGACCCTCAGCCCTATCATCGGCATCATCTTACGATGGTGTCGATTCTAAGGATTCCTCAGAGGCTTCATCCGTAAGATTGTCATCGCCTTGGGCTTGTCAATCTATAGTAATATGGATGAGCTCGCGGTTGATTGACTGTGGTGGCCGTCGTCTTGGTCAACGTGTGGTCGTCGTCATGGTAGCCAGCGTGGTCGTGGTCGTTCTTCTGACATCAGAGTCGTTGTTCTGGTCGTGGTCGTGGTGGTCGTGGTAGTCGTGGTGGTCGTGGTGGTGGTCGTGGTCGTGGTGGTCGTCTCGTCATGGCCGTGGTGGTCGTGGTCGTCGTCGTGGTCGTGGTGGTGAAAAGGGGAAGGCTGAGGAAGGAGAGGCGACGAGGGTGCGGGAGAGAAGCGCAGGGAGAGAGGGAGGGGGGGAGTTATGGTGGGCATTGAGGAGGGTGACGAGGCGGAGGTGGACTGCGGAGGAGGAGGGCTGAGGAGGAGGAAGATGGTTGAGGAGGAGAAGGAGGAGGAGGAGGAGGAGGAGGAGGAGGAGGAGGAGGAGGAGGAGAGGCCAGAAAGGGAAGCCGTTCTACTGCCCCCGCGGAGGCCTTTGAGCACTTCGCCCCCTTGCTCAAAGCAAGCCAGGACCAGCGTCAACCCAGTGCTCGCCGTCGTCCTCGTGCCTGTCGTCTTCGCCTGTCGTTCTCCCTCGAGACCGGGCCGAAACCATGCGAAAACATGGGCGAAACCAGGCAACTGGTAAGGATGTCTCGGACGGCTTGCGCCGCCCAGCCGGGCCAAACCAGGCGAAACCCGGGGCGAGACCAAGCCAACCGAGAGCATTTCCTGGGCAGACTCGCCGAAATCGGGCTCCATCTCCTCCTCCTCCAGTGGATGACCACAGGGCCCCCTCCGCAGGCGCAGGCCCGTGTAGATTGCTATGGGGGGAGCGTTCGGACCACGTGTGCGCTGAGGCGGACGGGGTTGGGCGTTGACGGTTTCATTTGTATTTCGGTTGTTGTTGGGTCCTTGGTGTGGCGTTCGGAGACATGTTTCCGAGCCTGTAGTTGATAGCGGAGCTGGGAACGATCCCAGCGCGCGACCCACGGATTGCGCACAGTGCGACGTGGACGCACATTCGCATTTCACCCCATCTCGTTGGATCCATCCTCCATTGCCTGAACAGCTTGTGCTCATATCTGTTCTGCAACCCTCGCGGGAATTTGTTCCACCGCACCCACAGGCGCCACGAGGCTAACACCGACGACCGCAAGTGACCCTGTGAGTGCATCGTCCCTTGGGGGACAGATGGCTCAGTGCAGGGGTAAGTCGATCCAGGAGTGGCAATGACGCCGCGGCCCCCTCACCACACTTACAAACTTCCTGACATTGGCACTGGGACGCAGACTCCTGCGCTGTCCTGTTGTCTGGGCCAGTCTTTGGGTTCGGCTCGTGCGCAGTAGTGCTGGCCTTCTTCTCAGTGAGCACGCTGCGCGCGAGCGACGTATAGCTTGTTAATGCATTGGTTCCACACTTGGCTCCGGCCTAGAGCCTCAGCGCTATGATGGCTTGTGAAACTTCAGGGTGCGTCATCGTGGTCGCCCTGTCTGCCTCGCCATGGATACCCTCTGAGGAGGAACTGGAATTACCCAGGGATGAAGGGAAGGAGGGTGCGAGAGGAAGGAGGAGGAAGACGAGGAGGAGGAGGAGGATGAGCCGAACGGGAGTTCTCGGCTTTCGGGGGCCGCGCGATGCGAGCGGGGAGCTCGAGGCCGCCCTGGGCCGTCCCGGGCCGTCGTGGGCCGGGATCTGGGGGACGGCTTGGGCAGTCCCTCGGGCGCGGTGGGGCTCCGCCTCACCCTCCCGCTGCGCTTCTGCCCCTCCCCGCCGCTCCTTCCTCGCCCCAGGTGTCTTCCCCCCCCCCTCTCTCTCTCGTTTCTTCTCTTGCTCCTCGTCCTCCTCATCCCTCACCAGCCCGTCCAGCGCCTTCTGTGCGTTCTTCGGGGGCCTCTCGGGGCCCTTGTGGGGCTCTCCTGGAGCCCTCTCGGGCTCGGCGGAAGCTACTACGGGAGTTTCTGGTGGCCGTGAGCGCAGCCAGAGCGCCCTCGTCGGCCACATGGCTCGGTGCGATGGTGCCCGAGCCCCAGATGCACCGAGACCCGAGCTGGAGCGGAGAGCGGACAGAAGTCCCACTCCATGGAGTCCCATGGAGTCCCTCTCCTTCTCCTCCCATCGCCCCTTCCTTCTGCGATGCCCGAAGGTGTTTTTTGTCGAGCGATCTTGCAGACTTGCGGGTGCACTGTCCCAGGTCCGTCATACTTCGCCCAGACAGCAACAGGGAGGCAGGGCAGAGTGGAAGTGGTTGACCTGTCCAATCTGCCAGCCACTGCCAGTTTCCCTCCTTTTTGCCAGCCCTGGCCAGCAGAGCCCACCCGCTTCGGACTCCTGCCGCGCACTGGGCGTTTTTCCCGGCCCTGGCCACTTCATGTTGTATGGGCTTCCCATTTTCACTCTCTCCCGCCTCCCTGGATACTCCCCGCTCCACGCGGACAGATGGCGCTCACTCAGGCCGAGCCCCGCCTGGCTCCCCTGCCCACCGCCTTTGAGGTCGAGGTCTGTGACGTGCAGAGGCGCCACCAGAAGCGCCGCCAGACCCACCCCGGGTACACGCCCCACCACCTCTTGGCTTCCTTGGCGCCTCAGAGCTCGCAGGGCGCTGGGCATGCTGACGACCTCTGCCAGCCGCAGGAAAAGGACGCCAGCTCGGACAACTCGACGCGGTCGACGCTGCCATTGTTGGGCTTCGAGTTCGACGACTCGGCCTCCGCGCACGAGGACGGCGCCTCGGAGGCCCCGAACAGCCCGAGGGAGCGCCCCCCGGAGCTGTACCCGGACACCGACAGCGAGTTCGGCGACTACACCGCCGTCCGTGCCACCTGGCGCAAGGCCAAGGCCTCGGAGGAGGAGGAGGAGGAGGGAGAAGTGCCGCCACCGCCACCCTGGCCTCGTCTTCGCTTGCTTTTTTTGGGGGGGGCTTCCTGGGAGGCCCTTGTCGCCCCAGCCGCATCCGCCTCGGCATGCTGGCCAGAACGCACCCCGGGAGAGGTCCAGGGAGTAGCTCGGCGGCACGCCCTGGGGGAAGTGAGGGGGAGCAGCAAGGGCGCCCTCGAGGGCGCGAAGTTATTCGCGCTTCGCGCTTCGCGCTTCGGCTCCGATTCCTCCTCATCCTCCTCTTCTCCCCTGGGAGGCGGCGCGAGAGCGCGAAGTTACTCGCACTTCGCGCTTCGCGCAGCGCGAAGCGGGAAGTTGGGAGCCCTTGAAGAAGGCTTAGACAGCTTCTCGGGAGGCCAGAGGCCTCCCGAGGAACGTTCCCGTTCCCTCTGCACTCCCCCCCGGGCTCGCCGCCGCGTCGCGTCGACTGGCGGCGACCCCGCCGCCGCTGGCGATCCAGGCTCGGTCGGTGGTGAACGACCTGACGTTTCGGAAACGGCCGACTCTTCAAGCTTGAGCGATCCCGCGGTGTCAGAACAACGAACGCCGAAGTCGGCATGAAGCGAACCTGCCGCATTGTCGTCCGAGCGGCGCAGAATCACGGGGCGCGTCTGCGAAGACGCTCGCGCGCAAGCTGCCCGCGTAAGGCCGCGCGTGCGCGCCCTCGTCTCCAGTGTGGCGTGCCGCGCCGGCCGCGTCAGCCGCCGCGCAAGGTCGCTACTTCAACTCGCGTGAGACCCGTTTTTTCCACAGTTGGTTTTCCCACGAGGGTTCAGTCGGGCTTGTCCCTCTACAGGAGGAGTATTCAAAAACAGTCAAAAGATGGTCCGGGGACGATGAGTAGTTTTTGACTGTTTCGGGGTACTTTTTTGCTTGCATGTTTTTGATGGAGCTTTCGTTCCACATCCGCCTGTAGGGGTACATGCCCGACCTAACACGAGGGCGCCGCTCCCTCGCAGCGGGGGCCCAGCGACGGGAGGAGGACGGGGAGGGGGAGGAGGAGGGGGAAGGGGGAAGGGGAGGAGGAGGAGGAGGAGGAGGAGGAGGAGGAGGAGGAGGAGGAGGAGGAGGAGGAGGAGGAGGAGGAGGAGGAGGAGGAGGAGGAGGAGGAGGAGGAGGAGGAGGAGGAGGAGGAGGAGGAGGAGGAGGAGGAGGAGGAGGAGGACAAGCTAGGTGCGCTCGCGTCAACATCTGACATCCTACCCCTCCCTCCCATCCCTTCCCATTGAGCTACTTCATTGTCCTCTCACCGAATCGGGCTTCGCATCTGACCCTGTTACCTAAGAGGGAAAGGAGGAGGACGACGGCGCGATGAAAACGAAGACGACGACGACGAGACGACGACGACGACGACAACCACGACGACGACGACGACGGCGGCGACGACGACGACGACGACGATGAGGACGACCGGCGACGAAGACGACGACGACGACGACGCGACCGCGCCGGAGCGGCACCCGCGCCAGCTGCCCGCTGCCGTTACGCGCGTAGCATGTCATAGCACTACAGAGCGTAGCATGCCATAGCATGGCGTAGAAAACCACTGCAGAGCGTAGCATGTCATAGCGGGTTGTGGCATTGCGTAGTGAGGCATCGAAACAAACACGACAACGTCGAAAAAAAACGACGACCGCAGGGTGCAGGGCGAACGAAGCCAGATTCCAGGGATACTGAAAACCAACGGGGTCCCTATACTCGCTGTCGGGGTACACGGCTGGCGAAACAAGAGGAGGCGGAGGAAGAAAAGGATCAGGAGGTTGGGGGGGATCAGGAGGAACAAGAAAGAGGTGGAAAAGGATCAGGGGGGTCGGAAGCGGATTATGTGTAAGATAGGCCGCAAAGTGGAAAGGCGCTAAGGCGAGAGCACAATTGAAAGCACCAGCGATGGAGCCCAGAGCGTAGCATGCCATAGCACTGCAGAGCGTAGCATGTCATAGCATGGCGCAGAAGAGCAATGCTGAGCGTAGTATGTCATAGCATGGGACGCGGGACGCATGCGCTGCAGCGGCAGCACGATCTGGAACGACCAGAGGAGCAGAAATGGGACCGACGCTGCAGCGGGAGCGACATGTTGAAGAGCCGAAGAGTGCCGTAGTGCCAAGAAAACAATACGGCAGCACGATTTGGAATGAACAGAGGCGCAGACATGGGACCAACGCTGCAGCGGGAGCACCATTGTTGAAGAGCCGAAGAACGCCACTGGAGCGGAGCATATCATAGCATGGGGCCGGGGACCGTTGCACTGCAGCGGCAGCACGATTTGGAACGACCAGCGGCGCGGAAAATAGGACGAACGCTGCAGCGGGAGCAACATTCTGAAGGACCGGAAAGACTCGGATTTTCAAAAACATAGATGAAAACCAAACTCCCGGGAATCCTGTGCGGAAAAGGACGCCGCCCAAAAGGGGGGGGGGCTTTCTGCGGCCCCAAAAATCAACGAATCGACACCGGATGTGTAATCACCTCCAATGTTTTTGCCGGGGATCATTTTCTAGATTTGGGGCTTCTTAAAAAGGATCGAAAACGTCGGCGCTGCAGCGGGAGCACGTTTTGGAACAACGAGAGGCGCAGAAATTGGGCCAGCGCTGCAGCGGGAGCACGATTCGGAACGAGCGGGAGCGCGGAAATGAGGCCAGCGCTGCAGCGGGAACACGATTCGGAAGGAGCGGGAGCCCGAAAATTAGGCCAGCGCCTCAGCGAGAGCAGCATTTTAGAAAAAAACACAAGCGAAAACCCAACTCCGGGGAATCCTGTGTGTAAAAAAACAGTACGCGGGGGGGTGCCGAACATCTTCCGGACGCCATCAGGGGAAGTGGGAGAGTAGTATTCATATTGTGTAATTGTGGAGGAGGAGGAGGGGAGGAGGAGGAGGAGGGGGAGGAGGGCAGGTGGCGCCGCCGCCGTCGGGCAGCGCCGCGGCGGCGGGCGGCGCGGCTCGGGCGGGCGAAGGCTCCGAGGAGCCGCCGCGCCCGGCCGGCGAGGGCCAGCCGCCAGGCTCGACGGCTGCCGTGAGGCCTCGCAGGTGCAGCGGCGACGAGAGGGGCGAACAGCTCAGGGGAGAGCAATACCAGGGCTAAGTTCGATTCCTCCGATTCGATTCGATTCGATTTCGATGATTTCCGATTCCGATTCGATCCGATTTCGGATTCCGATTTTGGCTCAGATTTCCTAACGAAGGCCAACTAGGCTGCCGATTTCCGCCGATTCGACTTTTCCCGACTCGGCTGCCGATTTCCGCCGATCCGATTCATTTCGATCGCCGATCCGACTTGTCGATTCGATTCTGGGCTCTCCTGCAATACACGTATTCTGAAGTCGGGCCTGTCCGTCTACAGGGGGAATCTTCAAAAGTAGTCAAACAATAGTCCGGGGGCTGTCTTTTGCAGCGTTGTTTGTCCATTTCGGGGTATTGTCTGGCTATTTTTTATCATTCGTCCAAAGTCCTCCTGAAGGGGGACACGCCCGACTTAAACGTATTCGGGTGCGCCGATGGTCTATGTCTTCGAAGAGGCTCCCGGGCGAATGCGTGCAATGCCCCTCCCTGGGCAATTCGCCCCCCTCGTCGCCGTCGACAGGTGCCGCGGTCGAAAGGCACGGCTCGTCCAGGCCAGCATGGTCAAGGTTCGTTGACCAAGCAACTCGAGCAGGAGATCGACTGCAGAACCGAGTCACCCCAGGCCTGTCTTTTTCCCAACCGTGCTGTGGTGTCGGGTCTTCGTTTTGACGAGACAGCGCTCCGCGTTCCTTCCTCCTTCCTTCGTCCTCCTCTCCCTCCTCCCTCCTCCCTGCGTGCCTCTGACCTCCGCATGTCCATTTCGACACACCCCTCACACGGTTCGTGGCTCCATAGGGAGCTCCACCGAAGGCCCCAGTGACAGCGTCCTCATGCGCCCTCTCCGCCCGCCGCATGCCCATGTCGGCACGCCCCTCACACGGTTCGTGGCCCCATGTGGAGTGCTCCACTAAAGGCCCCAGTGGCAGCGTCCACATGCGCCCACACCGCCCACCGCATGCGCATGTCGGCACACCCTCCACACGGATCGTGGCCCCATGGAGTGCTCCATTACAGGTCCCAGTGGCAGCGTCCACATGCGCCCACACCGCCCACCGCATGCGCATGTCGGCACACCCTCCACACGGTTCGTGGCCCCATGGAGTGTTCCACTAAAGGTCCCAGTGGCAGCGTCCACATGCGCCCTCCCTGCCCACGGCATGCCCATTTCGGCACACCCCTCACACGGTTCGTGGCCCCATGTGGAGCTCCACCGAAGGCCCCAGTGGCAGCGTCCACATGCGCCCTCCCTGCCCACGGCATGCCCATTTCGGCACACCCCTCACACGGTTCGTGGCCCCATGTGGAGCTCCACCGAAGGCCCCAGTGGCAGCGTCCACATGCGCCCTCTCCGCCCGCCGCATGCCCATGTCGGCATACCCCTCACACGGTTCGTGGCCTCATGTGGGGCTCCACCGAAGGTCCCAGTGGCAGCGTCCACATGCGCCCACACCCCCCACAGCATGCGCATGTCGGCACACCCTTCACACGGTTCGTGGAACCATAGGGAGCTCCACGGAGTGCCCCAGTGGCAGCGTCCACATTCGCCCTCCCCGCCCGGCACGCGCCTCACACGGTTCGTGGCCCCATAGGGAGCTCCACCGAAGTCCCATCGGCAGCGTCCACATGCGCCCACACCGCCCGCCGCATGCCCATTTCGGCACGCCCCTCACACGGTTCATGGACCCATAGTGGGCTCCACCGAAGGCCCCAGCGGCAGCGTCCACAAGCGCCCTCTCCGCCCGCCGCAGGCCCATCTCGGCACACCCCTCACAAGGTTCGTGGCGGGGTATCGAGCTGTGCAGAAGGCCCCAGGCCGCCAGAAGGCTTGAGGAAGCAGCTGGAGCAGCTTGCGACGCGCACGAAGCGGTGCAGGAGGGAAGCCACGGCCTTCGCCAGGGAGCTATCGGCTTTGCCGAGTTTATCCGTGAGGCCGGACCTGGTGAGCTAGCCCGCTCGAGCACCGCCTTCTCTCGATTGCCCAACCGTTTGGCATCGCGCCGCGGGCGACCCGCGGGCGTCGCTGGAATCCCCTCGGGGCGACCAGCGCGCGTCGCGGGAACCCCGTGCTGCGCTCTGCCCAGTTCGCTCGCCCGTCGTCGCTCTGCCCAGCGGCCGGAGCCCTGCCCGCTATCGGCCAGCCGGCTAGCTCTCTCTGCTCTGCGCAGCGGGCGACCCGCGCGCGTCGTTGGGACCCCTTTTAGGGCGACCTGCGCGCGTCGCGGGGGCTCCGCGCTGCGCTGCGCCCGCAGCCTCGGCGCGGGCAGAGAGGGAGACGAAGCAGGGAAGGGCCGTCTTGGACGGTCGAGCTTTCCTCGTGCCTCCCCCTCGAGCACATCCCGGACAGAGGAAGCCGCGCCGAAGGACGTGTAGGAAACTCCACCGAAGGCCCCAGTGGCAGCGCCCGCGTGTCGCCGCCATCTCACTGCGGCGCGCCCGTCGCGCGCTTCGTGCCTCCGTGAGGATCTCCACCGAAGACGATGCTCACGACTGCGGTGCTCGCAGCTGCATCTGGTTGGGTCCTTCGCCTGGCCAAACTTCGTTCAGTCTACGAACGAATACGTAGAATGCTCGTGGATATATTAACATCGCGCGCATGCTCCGTTGATTCCGCGGAAAAATATATTCAGGGATCGATTTTTTTTGTCGTCGGTCTCCTGTTCGAGCAATGGCATAAACATCTTTTTTTCGGATTTGCGCGCGGATCTCTTGAATCAGCGATGGACCCTCCTGGCGGCGCCCCCAGCGCCGCCCGTGCGTGTTCCGCGCGCCGGAGAAGGGGGCCAGGTGCAGATCCAAGAAATTTTCGCGGAGTTCCGGAAATTCCTGCCTATTGTGCAATTTTGTTTTCTCCTCCAAAGGTGGCCCCCGGCGAGGACCGGGGCCTCCCAAATGGGGCCCGAACGTGTGGAGTCGGAGGATCGCGTCGAGCCGCCGATGCATCGCTGATGCGGTTCGATGTGGAGCCCGGGTTTCTTCACGCCGACGGAGCCGATGCATCGCCGCCGTCGCCGATCCATTGCCGATGCATCGGCGATGCATCATCGATGTGGCGCGATCAGTCGCCCCCATTTACACAGACCCCATCTGGGAAGTTTCTACAGGAGGACATCGAGAAAATCACCACGGTGATGCTGCGCAATCTGCCGGCCAGGTGCAAAACTGACCTGCTGGTGCATGCGCTGGATACGTCTGGTTTCTTGGGTACGTACGATTTTTGCTACATGCCATGCGACTTTGCCACCAGCAACAGCAAAGGGTACGCGTTCGTGAATTTCAAGTCGCCAGCTATCATGCGGTGCTTCCAAAAAGATGTGGCACGGAACGCAGCGATTCCCGAACTATCCAGACAGCCGCGCCTTGCAGGTGACCGCCGCGCACATCCAGGGATACGAAGCCAACATCACTATGGCAGAGCAGTCCGTTGGCATTCGGAATCCGAATTTCCGCCGGCTCGTCTTCAGCAGGCGGGATTCGCCAGCTGCCTTGCCAGCTTCTGGCCTCCCAACAACGTCTTCGCAATACAGTGTCTACGCAGAGGGGGCGCAGGGGCCGCTACCAAGGCCTCCGCCGCGAGAGTGTCCCCATGCCAACCGCTTCAGAGTCATGCCTCAGGACCTCGACGACGGGTTAATATTGGATATAGATGCGTGCTCGCTCTGGTGGGCGGGGAGGTGTCCGTATCCCCCCCGCCCAGGATTTGTGGCATGACTCTAGGCGTTGCGTGTGGGGACGGTTCCTTGTGGTTCGAAGGCCGCCGGGCATGTTCTCAGTGTGCGCGCCTTCAAGTTCTCAGGCGTCTGCAGGCGACTCCTTCGTCCAGCACCAGTCCGCTCCTGCCGGCTGGCCAGCCGCGCGTGGGCCAGTCGACGTCTGCCAGCTGACTGGCCGTGCGTCGAGTGAGATTTGCGCCCCAGGCCCCCGCCACGTAGCGCCGCGGCAGCAACCCGCCGCAGAGAGGCTGACCGCGCAGCCCAGGATGCACGCCTTCATGGGGCTGGCCACGGCCACAGGGCAGCCGGCTTACCTCGCCAGGTGACAGGGCGGTGTCATTCGCATCGTCTCGGAAATCGACAGGGGCTGTTTTGAATTTGTTTCTGTCCCCGACCACCACTTGTTGTTTGGTCCTTGTGTTGAATCCGCCGCGCCCGCTCATCCTTCATTCCTCCTCCCCTTCCTCCCCCATCCCCTCCCCCTTCCTTCCTCCCGCCTTTTTTCCTTCCCCTCGCCTTCCTGCCTCCTTTGTCCCTTACTCCTCCCCTTCCAGTCATTATCATCACCACTCATCACCATACTCAACACAGTCATCATCACCGTCATCATTATCATCATCATCACCATCATCAAGCGCACCTGGGCCCAAACCGCATCCCAGCAGCGCGACAGGGCAGCGCTCGTCAGACTTTCCTCTCGGGCGCAATCCCTCTCTCGAGGCGCCCAGCTGAGCGCAGCCGTCTCGAGGGCTCGCGGCGCATGGCTGGAGATGCGCGTGCTGGGACCTCTTCGACTCTTTCTGTATAACCCGCTGTCGCTGATCTCAGTGGGCAGGTGCCGCGAGGTTGCACACGAGCTCGGAGCAGATGCGGTCCTCCTTCCAGGCAGTCGCATACGGAGCTGGGCTGGTCGACGAGTGGATAATTTCGGCGGCGGGTACTGTGCAATTCATTTCGGGTGGGCTGCCTCGGCGTGGGTGAATCGTTCAGCGGGCTGCACAGTCATCCTGGGCAGACAGTTCAGATTCACAGATGTGGTGGACTTTTTCACGCCGCCGAAATTTATTGCCGGCGCAGCAGGCGCGGTGCGGGTGAAAACCGGCAGGTTCGACGTAACGCTGGTCGTCGGCTGCCCACCGCCCATTGGTGCCACGGGCAAGAAAATTGCGGTGTACGAAGCAGCGGTGAGAGCGACACACCAATGGATTGATAACATCGTGGAGGGTACGCGTGCGCGCTCTCTTCTTGCCGTGGGAATAGATGTGAACAGCGGCTTCGGCGAGAGAAGTGATGGAGTTCCTGTGGCAGAGGGACACGCTGGTTAACACAACCGAGCAAAGCAGAACTTGTCGGGGGCGACCCAGCGGAGCAGTTGTGCCATATTAGAAGCTTATGCTCACCTAGCACATGGTTTCGCGGCGGTGGCCCCATTTTTTTCGGTACCAGTGGGGCGAGTTTTACGATTGAACACTGTTTGAGTCCAGATTCTGCGATGGGGGACGTCCTCGAATGCAAGGTGAGCTACTGCCATGGGGGACGGCTACACCTCATCCCTGATCGTCGCCTACGCGATCATCTACCGCTTCTGCTCGTACTCGACTGTATACTGGAGATGCGCGGTGGAGCTTCAAGTTCTGCCGACGAGAAGTTGGTGACTCGGGATCTTCAAAAGTTACCGGAAGAATTGCAAACGGGGAACGGTCGCGACACCTTCTTACTACAGCTTGAGGACCTTTTTCACCCAGCACGAGAATGAGGTCATATCCTTTCGAGAAGATCGGCGAATCGACGAACGTTGGAGTCTGGTGAAAGCTGGTCAATAACACTTCCGGAAGCACCCGCCAGAGAGACATGCCACAGCAGAGGCACGGTTACACATTGAGAGGCGACGGCTGGTGGTGCTTCGCGCTGAAGAGCGAGAGCGAGTGGCAGAACAGGGCTCGAGAGATGCAGATAGCACTGGCGATGACGAACAGCTGGAACCCATGAAGCGTCTCACCAGGCAGCGTTGACACGGCGCGTCGAAGGCGAGCCGAGCGTCGCATGTCGTTGGAGTCGGACTTCGCTGAGGCTGAGAAGTTGGGGCATACGTTTGAGATGCGTCGGGTCGCGCATCTCTTGGCAGACTGAGCTCGTGGTGCCGAGCGACGGCAGTATCTTGCAACGCCCGAGCCACGTCCGTCGGCGTCTATTGTCGAGGCGTACATGGCGAAACCGGGCGCGGAGGGGGCATGTCTGCTGCGTGACTGTTTAGCGTTGGGCTTCTTGACTTTCGAGGCACCGCTGCCGCTGATTCCGGAGGGAGGTGCGGCTGCCTTGAGGAACATGCTGAACGCGACTTACATCGCGCGATCTGGGCCATGGGGAAGAGTGGGAAGCGCGGAGGATCAATGCCGTGGAATATCCCTGTCGAACTCCTACTTTGTTGCGTCGGTCCTGGAGGTTGTACTGCTGCCGGGCGACCTCTGCGTGGACTGGGGCAACTACCTATTGAAGAGGTGGCGCAGTCTTGTCGCAGCTGCCGCATGGAAGCTCGCATTATGGAATTTGAGGCGCGTGGCGAGGCGTTGCATTTTGCCATCGGTCGCGGTGGTCTCATGGGTACTTGCGACGCGCCCAAAGAGTTTGCCGTTGCATTTAAAGGGCCCGTGCAACGACGGCAGAGCGTGCTGCTTGGGACAACCAACTGCTGTTCAAGACGCCGATCCTGGAGCTACCTGTTCCGTGCGCTGTCGTTCAGTTTGCTGATGACTTGAAGAAGCGTCGCCTTATACTGTCTGGTTTGGATCCTGACGCACCCGCGATTATCGAACACAGCGAGGCTTTGCTCATCACGGAACTTGAGAAGGGGGGCTTCAAGCAGAACATGAAGACGTGCGAGGTGGTCACTGAACTGAGGCCGACTGAGAACTTTGAATTCAAATCACATGTCGAGCCAGTGTCTGGGAAGATACTGCCACGCGCACGGCATTTCGGTGGCAGGTGTGTATGGAATGCTAATGCAAGCGTCGAGGTCGGCTACCGCATCGACGCCCTAAAAAAGGATGGGCTGACATGGATAGGTTCTGGTTTGCTGAAGGTCCCCGCGCAATGCGACGACGGCTGTTCTTGGGCAAAGTTGTGGGGGCCGCTCTCTCTGGCATGTGCAGCCACGTCCTCGCGGAGTCTGAGCTCCATCGTCTGGGTGTTCAGATCTGCAAGAAGCTGCGAGTCATGGGTGGTGGGGCGCTGATGGCGCATGACGCGCGCGTGAAAGTTCCCGCGAACAAGCAAAGCATGAAATTGGGGAGTTGTTCCTGCGAAGGCGGCTTTGGCTATGCAAGGGATGCGGTGGTTGCGATGCATTGCCCGACGCCCTCTGGCTCATCGACAGGTTATCGCAGCTCTCTGGGGGCGCTTGGAGGGCGAGCCCTCGCCGATCGACGTCGAGGGGGAACTGGCGGTGAGTGCCGGCCCTTTCGGGGGGCAGTTCGCGCGCGACCTCGTGCTTCTGGGCGGCGTCAGTGGCGCAGAGGATTTCTTCGAAGAGTGGGCGTTGGTGGGCAGGGCTTGGCAGGAGTTATGGAGCTGCGAGGAGGTTGCCAATGCTTTTCTCAAGGTGGATGCGAAGCTGCTGGAGGCGTCGCTCACGAGGGGGGACCAACTGTGGGACAAACTCGCGCCCAAAGCCAAGGGGGCGGGGGAGCCTGAGGGGGAGTTCGCGTGCGACTTGCGGGACGCGAAGGGCGACGTTTGCGGCCTGTGCTTTGACTCCTTGGAGAAGCTGGTGGTGCGCATGACGAAGGCCCGCGGCGGGTCTCACGGCGTTCTGTGCCCGCTTAGATGCCGTGTTCTTGCGAGCCAGTGCCTGAACTGTGGCAGTCTGTTCGCTTCAAAAGATATTGCAAAACAGCGCGTGCAAGCTTCGTGGGGTCTCGGGAGACGTCGGCCTCGTGGGGGCCATCAACCGTGGGAGTTGGGGGTTCCTTCGGAAATTAAATGTAAACTCTGTGGGCTCGGTTTTATTGCGTGCCTGAATATTGCGTGCGCGCTCCTGGAGAACGCTTGCCGCGTCCCGCTCCGCGCATTGCGGGGCGCCGCCTTTTTCGCCGTGCCCGCGCTGCTGGCGGCCGTCGACGACGGGAAGGGTGGCGTCCCAGACTCGCGCCGCGTCAAGCCGCGCCAGGATGGAGGCAAGGACAAGAAGCTCAAAGGCGTCAGCGATCGAGAGCATCGTCGGTTCCTGCAGTTCCTGCTGGTGATGGTCAAGCAGCTTTTGAGGGTGGCCCAGGGCATGCGCGAACTCGGAGGATGCCTATTCGACATTTTTCTTTGCCCGTCGGACGGGGTCGAGGCTCTGAAGATGGCGGAGCAGGCGCGCGACTGCGCGGGGGCGGGGAAGATGGGCGGGGCAGGTCACCCCCATGGAGCTCCCTACATATGGGCGTTCGCGGGCTCGATCGCGGGCCCACGCGATCGAGGCGAGTCGGTGGGGGCGCAGAACGGGAAGCACCTCAACGAGATGATGGAGTGGCTCAACGACCACAACGTGGAGGACAATATTGATATGATGCGAAGTTGCCGTCTGGACAAGACGCGCGACAAAGAGAAGAAACGGGCCACCTTTGCACTGCGAGACGAACGTTTGCGCCATGCGTTGATCGCGACCCGCGTTCAGGTGGGGGTGGGGCGCAATCAGGGCAAGGTTCCAGCGTCTTTCATGGAGCGCGAGCTGCAGGAACACGTTGCGCAGCTGGTGTCGTGAGAGCCCGACAAGTTAGAGTGCCAGCCCGGCAATGCTACTTGGGCATGGGTTTTGGTGAGCCTGCTGATGTGCCTGAGAGTGTGCGCGAGCCTGCTGCTGATGCGCCGGAATTTGTACGTGAGCCTGCTGCTGTGCCTGTGCGGGTTCGTAAGCCTGCTGCTGCACCTGTGGTGCTACGTGTGCTTGCAGCTGCAGGCCGCCTTGCAGCTGCTCTGCCTGTCGGCAGCCCCGCCGTTGTGCAGGGTGTTTCGCCTGGGAATAGCTCTTTCTTTTCCCCTCCTTCGACCTCGGGGCCCACTGGGGCTCTTCCCGACCAGCGTCGCGCCGCGCCTCTCTGTGGCTCCTCGGTCCCTGCCTCTTCCCCGCCCTCCTCCAATGCTCTGGGGGCCCAGGGGGGCTCGGTGCACTCCGCGACAACTGCGGGGGCCCCCAGGGGGCCCACGACTCCCGAGGCTTGGTTGGTTTCTCTTGGGATCGGGCTGGGCAGCCCCCGCTGGAACGCTCTGATACATGGTGATAGGTTGCGCTCGATGTTGAAAAGAACGAGGCGCTAATTTTGTTTTCTCCAGTCGGTCGTAATTG